AAGGTCTTCATAACCTTTACCATTTAGTATCAATAAACGCAGTTTTTTACGGGCTTCAATTTGGTGTAAAATGCTTAGTGAAATCATTTGACCTTAAGGTCGAACCAGGGGGGCACAAAGGTTTTGCAACACCCTGTACTTGTTTTTTTTTGGACACTAAACCTTAGGTAGAAAAAATACGCACCTTAATCTTTGAGTGTCGTTATCGCAATAAAATTATGTATCGGTACTATGAGAAAAGAAATAAACTGTTATAAACATAAGCGATTCCGCGAAAAATAATGAAAAGTTTTGCAATGACGACATTCCAATAGTAGTAACGAGCTAGGTATACGTTCTCTTTCGTCTTTTAAATTACGTCTCGATACAGATTCTCTTCCTTTGCCATTAAGTAAATATACTTCACATAGAAAAACGATGCTGAGAGAATCAAATATTGTAGACAGCATTGAAAGTAGATCCAGTTAGTACATTTTTCTCTGGGTACTTGTTTTGAAAAGATTTGATATCAGAAAAAATAGAGCTTAGATCATATTGGACTAATTGATTATCATTTGTCAATGTTGCTCGAGCAGTAGTTTTTATAAACTTTACACATACACAGATATAGTTTCGATAAGTTTCTACAGTCAGCATAACATGTGTCTGTATGCCGATGTTGGATAGAAACAATTGCAAAAGAGAAAATTTAACCTCAATAATTCATAATCTTCGAAAAAAAAACTTATGATTGATTCCATTCAGTCTATTATACTTTACTCTCAATGTTATATGAGAAATATTATTATTGTTTCGTCTCATAGAAACACTTATACTAAGACATTCATGCCATTATAATTGAATATTAACTTGTGATAGAAAAATAATTGCACAAATGTCGACCTCTATTTCTCTTCGATAAAAGAGTGATGAAAAAAAAATTATTTTTACTAAAAGATAGAGCTTTGTCTTCTCTTTCGGCTTAACAGAATAGATGCAAAAGACAAGTTAAAACTAAATGTCCAAAAACTTTTAAATTTTTTTTTTTATAGAAATTAATTTAATTGAGTTTTCGATATTTGCAAAAAGATTCATATAGAAATTCGAAAATACGAGTTTTCCGAAAACTTCCAGCTCTTCTAGAGAACAGTCATATTAAAAATTCAATAATTTAGTCAAGTCTTAATAGAAGCTCATATCTTTTTAAGTTGTTAATTCGAACATCTATCGATAAAAACTTATTGAAATTAGAAGAGGGCAATTGAAGAGATATCCTCTCGCAAGCGACAAAACATTACTCATAATGCATTAATGCATTTTGTTCTTTGTCTACAATTAGATTGGTTAACTGGTTGATCACTTAAAAATATAACTAAATTTTTTCTTTATATTATGAAAAATTCTTGACTTTATATATCAAAAAATCTTTTCCGATGAGTGATGATGACTTGCCTTTATCATCAACTGATGAACCAATAAATCAAAAATTTTCTTCAAATATTGTTAAACATATTTATTTTGATGATGAACAAGATGATCATGAAAATTTAACAACAGAAAAAATTATTGAACGTCCAACACCATCGACAATTCGTGTTGATAGTAGTGATTTAATATCACGTTGTAAAGATTTTATTCCATTATTATCAGATACAAATCAAAATTTAACAAATAAAAATCAATTAAATGAAATTATTTCATTAGAAAAAGATGATGAATTAAAAATTTCAGATATTGATAATAATTCATTATCAGAAAAAAGTTCAAAAGAAAGTGGTGAAGCTTCATCAACAACTGATGATGAAAAACAAAATGATATTATTAAGAAAAAACGTAAAAAGAAAAAAAAGAAAAAGAAAAAAAAAGTTAAATTAAATCAAGATAATGATGTTAAAACTTAAGATTTAGTTTTTTAAATAAAAAAAACAAAACATACAGTTTCTTTTTATTATTCTAGATTATCTTAACTCTTCAAATTATCAAATATCTATTTGATTTTCCGGTAAGGATTTTACTAATAGTTCTAATTGAGTTCGTTTTATATGAAAATAAAACTCAACAGGACTATTCAGCAGATTTATGCCTAGTCCGAGGGAACCTTCCCAAGTGTTAATCGCCGATCGTGCTCATAAGTAAAACTCGAGGAGACTAGCAGAAGCTCGAAAGGATTCGTCGACATACGTTGTCCTTCCGGGGTAACGATCATTTTATTGACTTTTCGACCTCTGACAATGGAATTTTGACCTGAAATTTTGTTCATAAACAGGTCTCATTGTCATTAGAATGTCCTCAAAGTTTCACCTAAAATGAACGTTTCTTTCTGAAGATATTGAGTTTTCAAGAATCTCGATTTTTTGGCCTTTGCTTGTGAAATATGATCGTTTCTTGAAAATTCAATATCTTGAGAAAGAAACGTTCATTTTAGCTGAAACTTTGAGGACATTCTAATGACAATGAAACCTGTTTATGAATAAAATTTCAGATCAAAATTCCATTGTTGGACTTCCCTATAAATACCATTGTCAGAGGTCGAAAAGTCAATGAAATGATCGTAACTCCGGAAGGACAGCGTATGAGGACGAATCCTTTCGGACTTCTGCTAGTCTCCTCGAGTTTTACTTATGGGCAAAATATGAGCACGATCAGCGATTAACACTTGGGAAGGTTCCCTCGTTAGATTTTTACAAATCTTCAGGGATGAATATGTCATATTCCTATATATAGCACAAGAAAGAAAGTCAAATACTCATCAACTAATACGGTTACGCCTCATTCTGGCTTTGTGTGGAGGGCTTAATACTTATCACCTACAGCGTTATATAGTGTAGTGTTTGTATGAAAAATTTATTTTCGGCTCCTTTTTACTATATTGAATGGAAACAAATATTGTTCTTTTCCGTTTTTTTTCCTATTAGATAACGTTGTTCACTTGTATGTACTATGAAAGCAACGATATAACTTGATTTATATCAAATACACAATGTTCATGAGTACTAAAAGTAGCCTTTTTCAATAAACTTTGGTCAGACTAATCAAGTTTTCTATCAAAACAAATGATATATTTGAAATCAATATTTTCTACTAGGGATTACGTCGAAAAAAATAAAGTCTACCAAAACATCATTTTTATTATTTATTTACCGGTGCTTTTTGAAAATTGTTGAAACTTTTTAAAATGTAGAAGTGACTTTTCATAGCTGTGACTTAGCGCAATAGTATCATTTTGTAGAACTTTGAAAAGTCTATCGAATAATATATAATTCAAGGTGGCTTGCTACTTTCATAGTTCAATAATGAGAGATTTTGTTATGGTTGTTCTCTAATTGTTCAAATAAGAAAACTGTCTCATGAAAACTAACAATATCTTGTCATACTTCTATATGCTATTCAATGGAAACTAAAGAAAAGAGCCAAACTTTCCATACAAACACTACATTGTATAATGTTATAGAGGACCAATAATATTAAATATTGAATTAGAAACAATATATGAAGATATTTTTGTTTGTTATAAAATTTCTAATTATTAATTTTTAGATAATTAATTAATAATGTCATCTGAAGGTGATGTAAATCCTAAAGCTTATCCATTAGCTGATGCTAAACTTACAAAAGATATTCTTGATCTTGTTCATCAAGCACAAAATTATGTAAATTTTAATCAATTAATGAATTATAAAAAAAATTAATTTTTTTGTTTTTTAAATAGCGACAATTACGTAAAGGTGCAAATGAAGCAACAAAAACACTTAATCGTGGAAAAGCAGAACTTATAAGTAAATTTTTAAAATGTTTGATTTTTTTTTTTGTCAAATGAAAACTTTTTATTTTAGTCATGGCTGCTGATACAACACCAATTGAAATTTTAATGCATTTACCATTATTATGTGAAGATAAAAATGTTCCATATGTATTTATACGTAGTAAACAAGCTTTAGGTCGTGCTTGTGGTGTAACACGTCCAGTTATAAGTGCAAGTATAACTATTAATGAAGGTTCACAATTAAAACCACAAATTCAAACACTTAAACAAAATATTGAAAAATTATTTACTTAAAAAAAAAAAAAAATCATTTTTTTGTTTTTTTGATTTGTTTTTGATCAAATAAAAAAAAAAGAAAACATCTTGTAAGACAAAATATACATATTTGTTAATTTCATTCTAGCGGCAAATTCTTTGTCTGTGGTAAGAAGAAATTGAATTCTTTTGACAAATAATGATATAGTAATAGTAAAACTGCATTTGAAATCTTGTTAAACTTTATAAATTATTTACTTTTACTTCCATAATTAGTTAAATTTGTACACAAATCTTTCTATCTAGAAAATTAAAAAATCAATCAAATTACTATTTCTAATTTATAATCAAACTATATTTTCGAATCATCTTTTCTAAGATTAATAATTGTATAGATATCATATCTAATAATTTTAAATTTTTCATTTATTCATCATTAATGTGTATCATCGTCATGAGAAGGTACAGATAAATGAGAAAGTTGTTTTTTTGTTTTTGTAAAAGATATTAAGTTAATTTCTCAAGTCAATATAATAGATAAAGCAGAGATGTCCATAGCGGCGCGGTAGCGGCAGCATTTTTTTTCGAGGACATTGAAAAACTGCATGAATTTAATAGAATTTCATTGTTTACAAATGAAACACCCCGAAACTGAATGAATCTGATGGACTAGTACCAATATTTCTGGTTCAATACAGTTGTAGCAGTGAAAATCGAAACACTTTTTTGAAAACCATCGCGGCAGCGGCAAGTTTGTTACTCATCGCGGCGCGGCAGCGGCAGAGGTTCAGCCGCGATGGACATCTCTGAGATAAAGATGCATTAAGACTTATTGATGTTTGTGGATAGATCATTCTTTCATTTGACAAAATACTTTTGAATATGTGGTGTTCAAATAAAGAAGATTCACAATAAATAATCAAAATATGTGTGAGTGAAATCAATTTTGGTTGAGTATCATGATAATAAAGATCATATAGTTTTTTATATTGGTGTTAGATAAAGAGAGATCAATTATTTTACAAATAGTAATAATTTATCTAATTTTATTACTTAATTTATCATTAGCAAAAGCAGTACAAATTGCGTCCGATGTTCAATTATCATGATAATGATAAATGATTTCACCAGGAGTCGATCCTGTCCTGTCAAAGATTTCCATTATTTCTCTTACCAATTAAAATTAGTCAAATCATTAAAATCAATATTTTGTGGAATTTACTGAAGAAGAAGAACAAAAATTCATATATTGAAGATTCAAAATCGTTTGAATAATCTCAAGGCATCTAGAACATCATGACACAAAGTACAAATTCTATTATAGCCAAAAAAATATGCAAAGTATAGAGGCTGAATGCATATACGAAGAACTCAACAAATACTATGCTTCGCATCACACATTCATTGTAATTGATTTTGAACAGAACTCAATAGTATTTTTCTTTTCTGAATATAATCCTTAGTTATTTCATATTAATTTTGCTTTTATTTTCTTTGAATAAATAGAAAAAAGTATTAATATCCAATCTTTTTTTTTTTTTGCAATAGTTTGTCATTTCATCAAAGAAATAATATTCAATGAACACATCACCCAATATATAAACAATTGACAAAAAAGGTAGAAGAAAAAAAAAATCTATATCTTTCTTTTTTTTTTTTCTAATTTTATCCATTGCACCTTCCATCATATTAAATCTATTATAAATAGTCTATTGATGTTCCTTAATGAATGTCGAGAGACACACAAAAAAAACGGTATATGACAACTGTGATTGACATGTGTATGCCATTGTCACGCACATTCAAAAAAAAGAAAAAGAAATCATTAATTAATTGCTTTTGTTGTTTTTTTTATTCTTTTCATACTGTCATTAAAATACAGAAAATAAAAAAAAAACAAAAAATATATTATAAATGTAAGTAAACAACATATATGATAAGTATGTACACAGATGATCAAAACATATTTATGTTCGTGGTATGCGAGAATGTCTAAAGATTATCTTTCGTCTTTATGCATATCATTTGATGAGTAAAGTCAATAGAATACAATTGCTCAAAAAAAAAAAAGAAAAAATAATTGAATTCTTCAGAGAGAAGAAGAAGAAAAAAAGTATAAAATAAAATATGAATGCCTTTAAGCAATGCTTTTCAATTTTTCACTTAATGAGATGATATTGGCGTCATAACAAGTTACATATTCATATATACTTCACACTATACACTAATCCGTCATCTCAAGCTATCAATTGAAAGAAAAGAAAGTGTCTATTAAAAACAAGTGAGGATTTATTTTTTTAATAAGTAACTCACTCGACATCAAGATGACTAGTGGTATAAATAATTTCAAGCGCTTGTGTTGTTTTTTGTTTATAAGAACAAACTTAAAATAATTTGTTTAAGATTTAAAAAGAATACTTCATTGTCTATTCAACAAAAATCATGTTTTTTGTTTTTGATCGATTTAAGAAAAAAATGAAAATCATAAATTTCAGTTCATAGTAACATTCTTTTTCTTTTCACAACTTTGACAACAAAAACTCATCATATTATTCTCATTGGTTTGTTTTAATCCTTTTTTTTTCATTGGTTTATTTCATCATCATCTTTTTTTTCTCTTCAACAAAAATCTCATTGGATTAACTAGAAAAGAAGAAAAGAAAAAAATGTGAAAAAAACTTCTCATATTCCAACATACGGCTTGTCAATCAACATCGACTAACGATCATCGCGTGACATACTCATTTCTCTCTGTTTCTTTTTTTTTTTTTTGGATTTCTTTTGCGTGTTCAATGAATATTTTTCATCATCAGTTCTCATCTATTTGAAATATTCTTCGTTTGTTTTTTTTTTTTTGTTGTATTATTTTCAAAACTAAAAGTGGCTTCTGTAAATAGTCAAACAAAATATTCTTCACCACCATTAGGTGATTATTATTCAAATTATGCATCAATGACAAATAATGATCCATCAACATTAAAATTTACTTATACAGATCCATTTTCATTTGGATTTAATCAACATTCAACATCATTATCATATAATAGTTCATCACAAAGAAAACAAAGACGTGAACGTACAACTTTTTCACGTGCACAACTTGATCAACTTGAAACATTATTTGCTCGAACACGTTATCCAGATATATTTATGAGAGAAGAAGTAGCTATGAAAATAAGTTTACCAGAATCAAGAATACAAGTAAACAAAAGAAAATTATTTTAATTTTATATTTTTTTTGTTTTTCAATAATAGGTTTGGTTTAAAAATCGTCGTGCAAAATGTCGTCAACAAGATAAAGCAATTAAAAAACCATCATCATCATCATCATCATCAACAAATAGTAGTTTACATGAAAAAAATGAAATATCATCACCTTGTAAACGTGAAATAAAAAGTCCAAATATTCGTCTTAATCATCGTTCACCATCATCAATATCAAGTACAAATGGTGGTATAAGTTCAGATAATTCAACAACAACAACATCAGCAGCAGCAGCTGCATCTTTAGCAGCATGGTCATCACAAGCTGTTGCTTATCATCATATGTATCCAACATCATATAGTCCAAATCAAGCATTTTTTTATACAAATGATCCAACAATAAATAATTCAACTATTTATGGTACAAATTATAGAAATCAAGATATGGATTTTCTTCAACCAACATCAATGTATGGACGTACAAGTGAAGAATTTATGAATGGTTGGACAAATGCACATCATCATCATCATCATCATCAAAACTTTAAAATTTTCAATTAATATTGTATTTGTAAGCGAACAGTGTAGAAATAAAAAAGAAAAAAAGCTGTTAAATAAATGAAAAGGTATTTAATTGGATGGAATGATGAATGTTGACATATTATGATGGGTGGCAAGATTAGCCTATTTGTCAATAAAGTAAAAAGAACTATATGAAAAGTCAATCAAGAGAGAACAAAAAAAAAGCTTGACTTTGTCATTCTTATTCCTTTTTTTTTTGACATCAATTAGGTTCTTTTTTTTATATTAGAATAAGAATAGAAAGGATTAACACAAAAGTCCTATATGGATCAACATAGTTTGTTGAACAGAAGTTCATATTGGGAGTTACTATTCGCATTTTTTTTTAATAAAAAAAAAAAAAAAAACATACATACATTGATTTATATTCATTTGTCTATACAACTAGATAAGATCATATAATAATAATAATAATTAAAAATTGTAACTAAACTAGACATTTTTTTTCTCTTTCTATCTTCTTTTTTTTTTCATTCATGCTGAGTGCATCAATATAGATCATAGTTGTATATGCAAGCTTGTATCATAAGCCGATTAGTCTGGATTCTCATTTTCGATCGGATGAGTTAAATTATTTTTAACTAGAAGAATGCAAACAGTAACATAAGTGGGTGGTATTTAAGCCGATGGTTTCTTTTTTGTTCCCACCTGAGTTCAATACTCACCATTCAACTTCAAAAAAGAGAAAGACACGCGACATAATACGACGCCTAAAGCAAAGATTATCTTATTCACAGCGTCAGAATGACACTAAACAAAAAGAAAAAAAAAAAAATAATTACATTTTTTATTCGTTCAATTTTCATAATAGAAAAAAAAACAAAAATGATCGAAGTTAGTAGAGGAATCAAATATGGATTCAACATTCCCCCTAGAAAGTTTTGAATTTCATCTACAAATATTTTAAGATTGTCTTAATCGTTTTTTACAGATGTTTAGAGCTTGCCTTATAACTTTTTTTTTTCTGTGAATGTCAGTAATCTAAGTGATTAAAATGGTTATTCATGATGAGTTTCAGATGAAAGAATTGAAATATTGACTAGATCAAGGTGGTAAAAGATATCTTATATTACAACGTCAATAATAGATGACATGTTTATCAACAAATCGTATACGTCTCTTTAGTATTGATAATGGATTATTCAATTCTGTTAAAAGAGAAAATGTTTTTTTTCTTTTCTCGAATGTTATTCGCGTACAGAAGAAATCGGTTTTGTTTTTTTTTTTTTTCTTTGTTTCAAATAAGACAATTATTCAGCACGTTTAGTAAATTGATAGTCGATTTCGAGCAGGTGTCAAATTTATATCAACTAGGAATAGTAAATCACTAAGTGGCACGTTCAATTTTTCATTTTTCTTTTTTTCACATATATACATCAGACAACAAATTATATTTTATTTTATTTTTTTTTTGTTCTATTCTTCTATGTATGTTTAGGAAATGATGATAGTACATTTAAGAAGAAAGACAATTGTTAACTCACGTATTAATACTCACTTAAATGCTATTGATTTTTTGTTTTATACGATTAAATAACAAATTGCAGATTTTAAATAGAAATTTATTTGTTATGTAAAATTCTTAAAGTTATCTTTATTATCTATAAGAACAATAGCGGAGTCAGGTGAAGGGCAGAATCATCTCTTGTAGAAATGTTGAACAAATTTTCATTCATAAATATTCAATATGATCATCATGCAAAATATTTCAATTGTTTAATAAAATAAAATATAGATGTCGATATATCTCATTTTATTAATATTTTATTTAACTGGCCATTATTATCAGCCATACGATAAGAAGATGATTGATTATAACATTTTCATTTTTAATATTTTTTTAGATAGTGAAATGTGCTGAGAAATCGAAAAAATATCGATTTTGTAAATCGCGATATGGGCTTTGATATTGAAAGATTTCCCAATATTATTGATGAAGAATTAATTTGTATATATTTAAAAAAAAGATAATTAATCAAGTAAATATATATATTTTGTTTTTATTATAATTCAGGTTCTATTTGTGGTGGTGTTCTACAAGATCCTCTACAAATACCATCATGTGAACATATATTTTGTCGAGTATGGAAAAAATATTTTTATTTTATTGTTGTTGAATATATTTTTGTTTTCTTAAAGAGATGTATTGAAGAATGGCTTTCACAAACACAAATATGTCCTGTCGATCGAACACCAATAGAAATGAATCAATTAAAGCTCGTACCACGAATTCTTAAAAATTTACTTAATCGGTAAGTTTTATTTAATAGAGAATAGAAAAAACCGTTACAATTTAGAGAAAGTTTTCTTTTTATTTTAATTATAATCATTCATATATATATGTGAAATTCTCAATTAAAAAAAAAAACATTGTTTCCAATTAGTTAATTTTATATTTTACAATGGAAGTATTTGTATCGTTAGTTAATGAAAATAGATAATATCCGGATCAAATTAAAGTTTTTCATCAATGAAATTAAAATATAGGCCGTCAGATTGAGACATTTTCATGGAAGATATCATCAACTTCCAATGTAAGAGAAAATGGACTACAAATTCGAATTGTAAGATTAAATATCTTTCAAATTTTAAGTCTTTTTTCTCAACATGTTTTAAAAGTTTTTGCGTATATTATTTTATTTTATTCGTCATTTTTATGTCGAAATATACGAAGGATAGATTCTTATCTTTTTTTTTTTTTTACCCTTTGCTTTTTCTCATTGAAGTAATATTTGGTCCGACAGCTGAAGATTATTCTCATATAATAAGATAATCTATAAAGTCAATGTACTCTTCTATAATAAATTTGAAAATGTTTTGTACCTAAATTCAATTTTAAACTGTAATCATTTTAATGATTCACAATTAAATAATCAAAAATTATATTCTTGAATATTAATCTTTTATTGACATTGAAGAAGTTGAATATTAGTATGATAAGCTTTTAGAATTATTAAATAAAATATTTTCATATAAGTTCATGTATAAGAAAGTGAAAAAAAATCCTTGATTCAAACTATTCATTTGGATGTTTCTACTTTTGAAAACTATATATTTCATTTTCGACTTATTCGATTCTTAACTGAATATCTTCAAGATTGTCATAGATATATCACAGACACTCTTCTCAAATAAATTATCAAAAAAAATATCTATTCATATGATGTTATTTTTTAGTTTAGAAATCATGTGTGAAAATGAAGGTTGTACAACAGTAGTCAAATTAGATGTTCTCCCAAGTCATTTAGCTGATTGTGAATATGATAAAAACAAATTAATTCAATGCAAGAATGGTTGTGGACTGATAATTTCAAAAGCAAATTATCAAGTAAAAATTTTTTTTTTTTTTTCAAAAAAAGAAAATAAAATTTTAAATAATAAATATAGAATCATAATTGTGTTCAAGCATTAAACAACGAACTTAATAATGTTAAAAATGAATTAGAAAAATATAGAAATGATGTTGATTTTTATAAAAATGAAACATTTACACTTCAGGTAAAATATTTTGATATGAATTTTAAAGATAACATTTTTTTTTTTTTTTTTAATTTAAGGAATTTATTCGTGTTAGTCGTGCGAATAGTCTAGCAACATCATATACCTCTGAAGATCTAGAAAATGATGAAATATTACGGTATGAAAATAACTATACGAATAAAGAGTTAGATGATTAATTTCAGTATCTGGTTTCAACCGAATAAAAGAAACATCTCGTATAATTTCTTTCAGCTTGCATTCAAGGCTGCACTCAAGCCATGTCAGATCCGATTCTGAAAGAATTTACAGTTCTCTACATTAGAGCCCGTCGAGTAGGATCCGGGTCTAAAGCAATTTTTTATGCATATGTGAATATTTTTCGAAAGTTTTACTTCTCTTTAGTTTTCTCGGAAAAAGTTAGTTGCTTTTGGCTATTAGTGTTGCAAATAAATTACTTCTAAGTTCAATAGAACACGTTAGTTTGGTGTCGGACACAGATGCGATCGGGTTCGGGTCCAGTTCTGAAAGTTTTTTAAATGACCGAGTACGCGACTAAGAAAAGTTCAAAAAAGCAGGTCCAAATACGGGTTCAAAAACTTCGGCCATGACGGATTCTATTCTACATACAAAAAGAGCTCGGTGAAAAACGCTAACTCAATTGAAGACCTTTGAAAGATGTATAGACAAAATCTATTTTGCTTATTATAATATAATAATCTTTCTGTTATCTACTATCGAAATTTTCAAAAGAAGGCAGGTGGAAAAATAGCTTATAGCTGTCGAACGAAACGTCATTGTGACTCAGCAATCAATAGAAGATTAGAGGGGGCACATTTTTATCTAAAAACTAAAGTTTAAATAATCAATGATTGTGAAATTACTGAAAGAGTAGGCTCGTTATTGGATGAAATTTCAGCAGAACAAGCTGAAACTTTCAGCATATATAGCCCCACTGTATCACGTAAAAAGAATAGTTTTTTTTTTTTTCTACATTTTAACTTTATTCTAAATTTGAAATAGCAAATTTTTATTTATTTTAGTTGGTCAAATGGTTTACAATTAGCTCGTGTAACTTATTGGGGTGGAATGATATCAACTCCAAATATTAATTTACAAAATGCTGTAAAAAATGCATTAATTGAAAGTGGTTGTCCAATTAATATAACAAATGAACTTATGGAAAATATACATGAACAACATTGGCCAGAAGGACTTTCAACACTTGGTTAATAATCTTCTATTTAAAAAGAAAAAGATGTATGTTTTATGCATATTTTTTTTTTGTTTTATAGAAACTCGACAATTAAATAGACGATATTATGAAAGTTATGTATGTCGACGTATTATTGGTGAACAAGCAGTTGTTGTACTCAGTTGTGATAATCGACATATGAATCAATCAATGAGTAAGAAAATAAAAATAAAACGAAAGAATTTTTATTTTCAATTATTTATTTAGTTAGTGAACCAGGTATTATAGTGATATTTTCACATGGTGTTAAATGATATCTAATTTGGCTTTTTTTTGTTATCGATTATTAATATGAATCATCATAATTTTCTTTAATAAGAAAATAAATTTTAACAGGACCATATTGATTTATATGAACTATTTCATAATGACGTATAAGAAATATAGCAGCTAAACCATACATTAATGTTGGTATACCTAAATTAAATATTTTAAAAAAAGTATATAGACGATTTTCATAAGATAAATCATTTGTTTTTATTCGTTGTGTACAATGATATTTGATATAAGGAAAACAACCTAAAATTTTGATGAATGAAAAAAAGAAAATATCATGTTTGTATTTTACCAGTTCGTAATATATGATAGTTTCGTCCATCAACATCAAATTCAAAATGACTTTGACCAAATTGATCATTTAAACAATCATATTGACGTATAAAATATGATGTCCATGAAGGATAATTTCGTTGTCGTATATAATATCGAAGAACTTCAGAAGCTTTTGGAACAATTTTCGAACGAAAAAAATGATTGTATAAACTGATTAACATGTTTAAAGATTAAATACATATCTAGAAAATAATCATAATTCATCATTAGATAAATCGAGTCATTATAAAATTCATATCAAAACAATGAGTAAAACCAGCCTATATATAACTTTCATTTCAACTTTACAAGTAGAGGTGTAAGCCGTACAGCTGGGCTGCTGCCACCACCACGAAATCATAGATAATTTTAAGAACTTGTTTAGGAGCCGCCGATGTGAAAAAGCAAGTTGAGCTGCTGTGCAGTGGCTGCGAACGAGAATTTTTGGTAATAGTCTAAGGCGCCACCGCCGTTGACATTTTAAAGAGCAAATACGTCTTTTTTGTTGATTGTCAAAGCCGCCACCGGTGCAGAAAAAAATAAAGTATAGCAGCCGCCACCGCTGTTTAATCCTTCGGCTTACAGACGTGAAATATTCTGTTTTTTTTTCAAGACTAGCGAGCGTTGCAAAATTATCGAAAGTCTTTTAGATCGATAAAACATTTTATTCTTTCATTTTCGTTTTGTTTTTGAAGAATGCATCAAAACTGTTGTTTTTCTACCATCCTTAGTTTTGAAAAATCGTTTAGTTTAATTAAAAAAATCTATATATATAATGTTCAGTGTCTGTCTGTTTCTCTGTGCCGGGTCAATGGTCAAAGGTTAAAGGTCAAATAAGACTCTAAGGGAGAGATCTCCAGGGGCTATTTTATGGGGTACTTATAGATCCTCAAGGGCTATCCTATGGGGGTACCTATAGGTCCTCAAGGGCTATCCTAAGAGGGTACCCATAGGTCTTACAGGGCTATCCTACGGGGGTACTCATAAGTTCTCAAGGGCTATCCTATGGGGGTACCTATAGGTCCCGATGGGCTATCCTGTGGGGATACCCATCGGTCCTCCAGGGCTATTCTATGAGGGTACCCATAGGTCCCCAAGTGCTATCCTATGGGGGTACCTATAGGTCTCGAAGGGCTATCCTATGGGGGTACCCATAGGTCTCCAAGGCCTATTATATGGAGGTACCCATTGATCTCCAAGGGCTATCCTATGGGTTACTCATAGGTCCTCAAGGGCTATCCTAGCGGGGTACTGATTGGCCATCAACGGCTATTATATTGTGATACCCATAGGCCCTGAAGGGAGTCAGGCAATAGGGAGATAATGCTGCAAGGAATATAAGGCCATAAGGTCGAAGGCTACATTGCCTATAAACATATGTGCGATATGAGAGTATGAGGCCGTAGGGCTATCTATCTATATACATAATATCGAGTGTCTGTGAGGTATGTTCAGATTTCCAAAAAAGGAAATTACCTATATTCCTGAAATTTCCATCAGCTCGATTACTATATAGCAGTGCAAATCAAAAGTTTTTAGACATATTGGAAATTTCAGCAATTTTAGAAATTTCTGTAATTTCAGAAATTTCTGTAAGTACGTCATGGCGGAAATTACATCATTTTTGGAAGTAACGTGCAATTCCGAACACAAATACTTGAAGTCGCCGAAACGTTCGAAATTTCCTTTTTCGGAAGTCTGAACACTGCTGTATCTTCGTACAAGAATTTATCAGATTAATAATATTTTCTTTATTCATCATTCATACTAATGATTTCATCTTTCCAGATGTTCACTTCCGATTTCAATGATTCTTTTATTCATTAATAGTGCATAGTACTTCAGTAAAAATCAACTCTATGAGATAATCGTCTTGTCGAATTTTGTCCTAAAACTAATTCACTGAAAGTTGTTCATAGACATTTTTCTTAATAAAGAGTCTCAGCATTTTTAGGTTTCATTACTCCAATCTATGGACTTTTCACAAAATAAACGTTTTTTTTTTACGTATCTTGTACAATACAAATATTCTAAAATTTGTAGTACAAACTTATATCCACTTCAAAATTAAAGGAAGATCAGTATCAGCTCAATAGCTTGACAGCAACAACAGCTAGCAAGCTGTAGTTTACAGGAATCCTAAGAAGATAATTCCAGATATCTCTTCGTCTTCTGAAAACATTTTTAACAATCCATGAAAACGTTTCATGTCACCTGAGTCGTGCTTTGAACTATAGGTCTCAAGTACGTGTCAAAAACAAAATTACATCGAAATAGAACACCATTGTAATTCTTGATGGGTTTTTATCTAATTTATGTCATACATAGAGTATCAGATAAAATGTTTTTTTCCCGAGTTCTCCTCTTACAATTGCTGATAAATATTGTCATTATCAAGCTATTAAATTTCGCATGCACCCATTTTTAATGCTAACACGGGTATTATTAAATATGAGACCTTTAATTAGCCGTAGAGTCTATCGAAGTTAATCCTGAAACTAAAAACCTTTGAACTCGATAGACTTTGTCTTACACATTTTAAAATAATTTATCATAATGAAAAAACAAATAAATATAAATATATTTTTATAAGTTTTTTTTTTTATTTATATTTATAATCAATAACTATATACATTAAGACATTAATTGTGTTGGTCGTTTATTTGTATTACTAATCGATTCCATTGATGGTGTAAAAATACTCATATCAGGTTCTTCTTTAAAATCCATCATAAATTCTCCAACTTTTGTTACTATTCCATCTAAAATAAAAACATAATTAAATAAAAAATAAAAAAAAAGCAAACTTCGATCATACTTCGTCCTGGTTTAACACATAATTCATTTTTAAAAACTTGTGTTATACAATTTTGTAAACGAAGTATATCACCTGGTGATATTAATTTTCCTGTTGTATTCCAAACATTAAGTGTTACTGAACCAGTACGATCAGCAACTTTAAATGAATGTATTTCATGACCATCACGTGTTTTTTGAGGATTAGCTTGTACACGTAAAACAATAACAAGTAAATTGATTTGTCGTTGATTTGGTTCAAGTTTTCCGATAATTGTTGAAGGTTCAAATCGATCTGGTGGTGGAAGATTAACTATAAATGGTGGTGTATTATCTGTATCCATCTAGAATATATATTTTTATTTTTTTATTAAAAAAAAACAAACAAAAATAATTGACAATAAGTTCAATTTTGTTTTATTTCGGTAATGGAATAGTATATGTAAAAAAATCATCAGCAATAAATACTGGTCTTGATGTTGCTTGTTTAGCTTGTTCTAAAAGTAGATCAACTGTAACATCATCATCATCATCATTATCTTCGTCATTATTATCTTCTCTTTTATGTTTTTTATTTAAATTTTCTTTATTTTCTATTATATTTGATTCAATTATTGGTTTTGATTTATAACGTTGACTAAAATGATTTAATAATAAACATTTCGTATTACATTTTTCAGCTAATAATGTTGCTATTGATGGTGTTGAATGACCAAAATCAATAGCTTTATCACGAAGTGTATCATCATGTGTACATTCATGAACAAGAACATCACAATTTTGAGCAAATGGTATTACATTTGATGCATCCGAACAATCACCTAATATAACAAGACGACGACCTATTCGTGATGGACCAACATAATCTGTTGGAGAAAGAATTCGTCCATCATCAAGTGTAACTGTTTCACCTAATTTTAAACGAGAACAAAATGGACCTGGTTTTATACCTGAATCTTGAAGTTTTTTTATATCAAATTTTCCTGGAAGATCATTTTCAACTATGACATACCTAAAAACAAAAAAAAAATTCAATATTGCATTTCAAATATAATCTATTATTACTCAAAGCATCCATTCATATACTAAAAAATTTACTAGAGATGTGTAAGACCAGTTTCAATAGATCCGGTCATCGTCATGTTCAATCAAATGTAGTTCTAGTTTCAGCTTAAGGGTCTCCCCCCTCAAAAACAAACTTTTTTAATTTTCCACAGAATGTTAGTCTTGACTAGAGTAGAGTATGGTTCAAAAATATCTCCTCAAATCTGCGAGTTATAATCAATTTATTGATCAAAAGTACCCTGTACGCAGACAAGGTTTTCATAATCAGGATACGGACGGTTTTTACATTGTAGAGTACCTTTAGCGCTAAGTCGTAACAGAGCCCGATTTTTGAAATTCCCTTTGTTTGAAAAATGCTCGAATTCATGGCCAAAAAATTGCTGATAAAAATGACATATGTAAGTTTTCTTTTTTTGCCAATAAAGAAATTCAAAAATCAGGCTCTGTTACGACCTAACCCTAATTATCCTGTATGCCATAAAAAAAAATTATCACTTCTATATTAAGTTGTTATTGAGTAAAATTTGCTCGCGCAAACAGTATACTCGAAAAAAAAACGGATTTTAAGAAAAACTTATACAATATCCTTAAAGTTCATTATAAAATTAATCAACTATAGCGCATTTGAGAGTAGACATTTTCCTCTATTTAACGAACAAAATTGACATTGTCTAAGGATGTTCCCCATAAGGAAAAAAATATTTTCCATCAGATATCTATGAATATTACTGTTCAACAGACAAAAATCAAATACAAAAACTCATATATTTCAACACTAGTTTTAGTTTGAGAATTCGAACTT